CTAACAGGAGTTGGTATTTGAGGTAATCGGTGGAGTGCTCGTCTGCTAGTTGGTTTGTAGAGGAACTGCCTCCAGGTGACCATGTGCCGCAGGTCTGACGGCCTGTCTCCACAAGAGAAAAGTATCTGGAGTAGATGGCTCGCTGCTGTGGGGAGAGAGGATATTGCATCTAAAACTGGGAACGTTCAGATGTTGCAAACGTGTTGTCGATAACTCCCAGTTGCCACAGCGTGTAGATATCTTGCAGAGATTGCATGTATAGCACGATTGTGTCCAGATAGCTCCTCTTGTGGGATTCACCTGAGAGGTACTGCAGGATCGTCTCTATGGAGCCTAAGATGTTGGGCAGCTTTTCCCTTGCTGGTACGAAATGCTTAATCGGTTCGGGCGAGCAGTCTTCGCGGAGATCGTGAGGTTCGTCCAGGGTCCGATGGGGCAGATTCATAATCAGAAGTTGGTAAAAGAACACCGAGAAGTGCTTTACCCCTACCAGAGTACTGCCGTCTTTGTAGCGTTTGGGTGGATTCTTCTCATGATCATAGTGCTGCAACCACTCTAGGAATGTGAGATGTTCATCGTCTTCAGAGCGTGCCAGGTACTTTTGATGCACCTTGTGCTGCGTTTGGCTTGGTGTTGGAGCGGTGAACGGCTTGGTTCGTGAGTTACTCCATGCAATCTTCATAGATGTCAACTGAAGCACCATCTCCGGTTCCAAGGGATGCATGTTTTTTAGGAACGATGTTGCTGCTTGGTACGTGCCAAGGTCCATGGAGTAAAGTTGTTGTGTTTTAACTGCATCATGACACTTGGCCACGTACGAGGTGACGTATTTTAACAGCATCGCCTTGCCATCGGAAGATTGGACATCCATGGAACACTGAAGAGAGCCGGTGACGGCAGCTACGAACGCTCGTAGGTTACAGCCTTTATCGGTGCGCGTGTGGTGGAAGGCAAGGTACGTCTCGTTTTCGGTCAGCATGCAGTTTGCTGCTTGCCTGAGCGGAAGACAACTTGTGCGGGATTTCTGCAGATCGTAGACTAAGAAGGCCTCCTCGACATTCCCCCAGGGTATGGTTGCAGACAATTTCGTGACATCCATGTCGTTCATATCGTCCAGCCAGATCAGTATGTGTGCGTGAAGTGTACCCCTCTTCTGGAACTCAAAGCGATAAAAATAGTTGGTAACATTGTTCGCAGAGGGGTCACTCTTCTTAGCAAAGAGGTGGTTCTTCCATCGGTTCGTATTGCTGCCACACAGATAACCTCGGATGTACTGTTCGAGGACATGGGCAATGTGGATGGTTTCGGGTATGGCTAATTCCGTTGCACGTTTGCCCGTCTGGTTGCGTAGATGCTCTAACCACGGGGGAAAGGGGAAAGTCCATTCGAAGGGAGAGATCGTGATAAACATCAACGGGAAGCCAAACTGCCGGACCGCATCCATGAGATAACGATGCTGATTTGTCCAGTACTGGTGGCTAAAGGTCTTGGCCTCTAACGCTGTCGCAGGTGAGCATTGAGCTTGCTTAGCCGAGTTAATAGCTCCCGTGATCGTCTTAAACATCCAACGGTCGTAGTGGTAATGGAGCAGATCGTAATGCATTGCATAATCCGAGACGGCAGAGGCGATTTTGGTCATAAAAGATACCTTCCGAACATCATGCGGGTGTATCGGCCAGAGAATGCACAAAAAGGAGAGAGCGAATAGATCTCATCCATGGTGAGATTTTGAAGGACTGCTGGAACTCTCCTCACGTGAGGCACCTGGTATCGGCCAGCGCTGCATGTACATGATTTGGAACTCGCAGGTTTGGTTTGCTTACGGTACGCAGGGAGGAGCTTTTTCGATTGGAGCGATCCACAGCAGGTGCAATATGCCCAGCTGCCGTGTTCAGCCCAGAATCTGAGGTCATTGGCTATGTCTGTAAACACACGTTTGCTCCTGGTCGACCGCGTGGGGACTCTGAAAGCGCGCAGAAATTCACGCTTGCGGAGACGTTCCGAGCGGCGACCAGTTCTGGTTTCGTTGAGGTGACGTATATTGGTGGAACGTAGAATTACACGTGAGGGGCGTTGTTCCCAGTATCTCTCGCTGGACTCCTTGGTCGATTTGGGCTGAGGCATTTCTGAGAACCGAATGAAAGATACCCGGTGTACAATGTTTGCAAGATGAACAAAGATACACATACGCCGGCCAATAACATCAACATTGAACATCAAGTGTATTTTATGTAGGCAAGATGACAGGGTATTTCCACTGAGACAAAATGGCAGCCAAATATTCGGTAAGAGTCACTTCAGTAACTGAAACAAAACAAACATGTCTTTCTGACTGCCATGTCATCTCAGACTGCATACTAGTAGTGCTTTAAGAGCCTCCTAGGTACGTTCTGCAGCAACAAAGATACACAAGTCCTATATAGAGTTACGACAGTAGTCTTGGTCAATGCAGGAGTTTATCGACTTGCGAGTAACAAACTGCTTGCACAACCAAGACGTTGTCAATCAACTCTGTAAAAACACGCGTACTAGTCGTTGCTTTAGTAGCCTCCTAAGGACGTTCGGCGTTGTTCTAGAGTATAAGAGTGTGTGGACGAAGTATTCATGAGGTCGTAACAATCGTCTACTCTAGTGTGTTACATAGACCGATCACTTAGCGAAAGCAGCGTACTCCTCTTTGCACTAGTTGCCAACCTAGGGAGTTTCCGCTGGCGTCATCCTAGTTTGACAATGGTGTCTACTAGTCCGTGCTCGAGTAGCTTAAGTAATGACTTTCGACACTTCAATACAACAGTGGAGGTGATACTTACTGTAGAAGTGACGTCTTTCTTAGTGCAAACCAGACGTAATATGTGACAACTCTGAACAACAGCAAAGTGATCTAAGAAACAAACCAATCTTTGTTTTAGTGTTATCAGGACAAAAGTCGCAGAAAAATGCATCGTTTGCGTGATAGTATTTTGTGAAACGAAAACAGCTACGTGTACTTACAGTATAGACACGTTTCTTGATTGTTTCAAGAAATGGTGGCCAAGGATGGACGCAAACAATAGCAATATAACCTGGAAAGGGAGTAGAAATATCGTGATTTGTATGATGCTATATGGAAGGCAATCGACTCAGATGATGACATAGGAGTTTCAAAAGAAAGATAGAAATCATATGCTACTTACAGATATCACCAAGTTTCTTTGCAGTGGAAAACAACTGCAGAATAGTGAATATCAAGGAACCAAATGAATAACCTGCAAACAAAAAAGAGTGTCAATTAGATTACTGAGGAACACTTCCCCGGAGACGTGTCATTGATGTACCCAATGTTAGGATTGAAAGTTGACTCATGAATTATTGAGGGTGACTATATGAACAGCACCACAAGAGAAATTTTCACTTGTCGACTATAAACAGAGACTTGCATAGCATAAACAGACTTCTCATGAGTCTCAATAGGCGATTTTCGCATTTAAGTACACTCATGAATTATTCATGACGACTATATGGAGACAACCACAAGACAAATTTTCTCTTGTCGACTATAAACAGACACTTGCATAGCATAAAGAGACTTCTAATGAGTCTAAATAGCCGATTTCTGCATTTTAAGTACACTCATGAATTATTCATGACCACTTTGTGGACACAACCACAAGAGAAATTTTCACTTGTCGACTATAAACAGACGCTTGTATAGCATAAAGAGGCTTCTCATGAGTCAAAATAGCCGATTTCCGCATTTAAAGTACACTTATCAATTATTCATGACGACTATATGCAGACAACCACAAGAGAAATTTTCACTTTTCGACTATAAACAGACACTTGCATAGCATAAAGAGACTTCTAATGAGTCTAAATAGCCGAGTTCCGCATTTCAAGTACACTCATAAATTATTCATGACGACTATATTGAGACAACCACAAGAGAGATTTTCTCTTGTCGACTATAAACAGACACTTGCATAGCATAAACAGACTTTTAACGAGTCTAAATAGCCGATTTCCTCATTTCAAGTACACTCAAGAATTATTCATGACCACTATGTGGAGACAACCACAAGAGAAATTTTCACTTGTCGACTATAAACAGACACTTGCATAGCATAAAGAGACTTGTAATGACTCTAAATAGCCGAGAAGCATCGCCAGAGTACGAATTTGCCTACACTACGTGCGCAAAAAAACAGTTTTCCTTTTTGTGTAGTTCAATAAAGACACTAAAATTCAAGAATGACAATAAAGTTCAATAAAAACTACATGAGTTCAGTAAATGACACGAGCATTAATGTTTGTTCATAAGGTAATGCCAAGGTAGGGGGTCTATTGGGACTGGGAGTGCAAGGCGTCAGTTTAATTTTCACATAATTTTGTTTTTCAACATACTTGGACTCTATGCTGTTGACAGATACATAAAGTGACATTGTCCAGTTTTCGCAATCTTTGGGGCCTGTTCACACGGCCCCATCATCCTGCTTGTTTAGTTTTATTCCCCAGGTGCGGCTTGGTAAAGTCACAATCATTTCATGACTATAGGCGGTCCATTAAACTAGCTTTTCTGTTGTACTGCCTCCGCTGATATATTCTATAAAGCCCAGTCATTGCTATGGTATATGGCAGATAGGTTGACAGATTCTCATTGAGTGATTGGTTCAAGAGTAGAAATCTACATATAAGTTGACAGGTTATCATTTAGTTACTGGCCCAAGAACAGGAATCTGCATTTTAATTATTTTGTGAAGAAGCGTGAAGTTTTTAAAGTTTATAATAATCATAGGAAAAATATATTTTTCTTGTTAGTGGTGGGCGGAGGGTTAGTTTGTGGTTTAACTCATCTAGTTTGACTTGAAGTTTAGGGAGTATGTGAGAAAAACATTATTATGTCTGATTTAAAAAATGCTCAACATGTAATTTGGGATTTTAGTGGGGTTAAAAGGGGTTGACAGGCTAAACACGACTCCCGCTGTTTCGTGATGTAATAGGTCTTTGACCTTTAGAGTTTAGCTCTAACAAGTATGTCTTAGAGATTTTCCTCTCCTGTAGGAGATGAGAGGTGGTTCTCTGTATATTTCTCTCAGCATTGGTTGGTTTTCGATTAAATGCCACTTGCTCATTAAAATATTTTTAAGGTTAGGCACTGATGGATTGTACTGTGTGACAAAAGGCATTAATCCGTTTTTCACTTTTTGCGGTTTTTGTTGAAGTGCCGACTTTCTATCTGTAAATTTGACCTCTGCGAGGATTTTGTTTACCAGATTATCTGGATAGCCTCGGACACGCAAGTGTGATCTGAAATTTTCAACGTTTTCTTCAAATGCTGCCTTTGAAGAGTTGGTTCTAAGGAGCCTAAGGGCTTCGCCTTTGATAAATCCTTTTTTCACGCCTGGAGCGTGACAGGAGGAAAAATGCATGTATTGAAATGTCTCAGTCGGTTTAAAGTGCGTACGGATGTCAAAGATTGAATCTTTGTAGAATCTCTCGCCTTTAAAGATAGTAGTATCTAGGAAGTTTGTTTTCTCTTCTGATATTTCAGCCGTGAATTTTATGGTAGGATGGTGCCTGTTTGCTTCTAAAATGAATTGGTCTATTTCCTCTCTGTTTGTGTCCCACAGGGAGAACACGTCATCGATGTATCTTTTCCACTCGAGGGGTTTTATCTTGCTTTTATTGATAATTTCTGTTTCTACCGCGGACATAAAGATGTTGGCAAAAGCAACTGCCACTTTTGTTCCCATTGCGGTACCATGAGTCTGGAGATAGTTTCTTCCATTGAACTGGAAGGAGTTCTCCTGTAGTATAAGTCTAAGCAAGCTTCTGAGTGAATTTGTAGGAATGGGTGTGTCGTTCTTATAGAAGGCTTCATATGCTTTGCATACAGTGTTTAGTCCTTCTTCTTGAGGAATATTGGTGTACAGGCTGGTAACATCCATAGAAACTAGGATCGCGTTGTTTGGAACTTTCCTCTTTTCTATAAAGTTGATAAACTGTGTGGTATCTTTCAGGTAGGATTTTTGTACTTTAGCGATAGGCTGTAGGATGTGGTCTAAAAATGATGATATACGTTCTGTTGGGCCATCGCAGCCCGAAATTATAGGTCTACCAGTTAAAACTGGTTTGTGAATCTTTGTTAGCGTGTAAAATAATGGTATACGCGGTGGGCTAGGTGTTTGAGAAAGCCACTTC